GCTTCTTTGACAAAAATACACGCGCCCCACAAAATGGGACTTGGTTTTTACCCACAAACTCCATATGATCTCTTGATTTTAATTCACATAATAGCAGAGACTATCTCACCACTGCTATCAGTATCGAGGTCAGAGTCGATATCCTCCATTTCCTCATCATCCGTGTCAAGGTCGTCGAGGTACTGGCCAATGACACGGGCCCCACATGGAGGGATTGTTGCTTCGGTGATTATTTGCATTATTTCGTCGATGCTCTGCATTGGTTGATCAGGTTCCTCGTATTGGTTGCTCATCATGTTCTCATCCATCAGGTTGGCTGGGAGGTTTTTTAGGAACCATGCATGGTTGCGGATCTCTGGGAGCGATATCCTCTGGAAAGATTTGCATGTAAAGTGGAGGTAAAGAAAATGATAAGTTAACATGTAGACTGAAGGATAAATTTCAAAAATATCGTGAAATATTGGGAGCTTTGCATGAAAGCATCCTGGACTATTTTCATTAGAAAAAATTACCACAGACTCTGAATCAGTTGAAACTCCCGTCATCGCATGAACAGTATCAAAAAGGTTTATGACTTTGAATCGTGTGTTTATCACACGGTAACTTTCAGTTTCACAAACGTCAGTTAGACATGGTAGCTCAGTGAAATTTTTTGTAATAACTTTCTCTGATAAAAATAGTTTAGGATAGTTTATTGCAATACCCTTAATAATTCAGGACAGGCTTATGAAAGTTATCCTCAAATGAAATTAGAATTGGAAGGATTAGGATATTTAAACAATTATTTGAACTTTCAAGAGTTCAAAGAAATTATGGATTTGGATCTAAATTAAAGAGAATAGAAGTTGTTAAAAAAAAGATGCTAAAATACAATGCCTAATTACATATTAAAGTTAATAGGAGGTTCCTATAAGCTTTTAAAACTGCACCAACATATATTAGGGATATTTTTACGCTTTTACATACATCTCCCCATATCATGTGCATTTTCCTATGACATTTGAGTTTTGTGAACAGCCATCCACAAATGCTAGCAAAAAGGATGCTTAACAAGAGTCAATCGTGACCTCAATGTAATTGTCTATATAAACACTGGTCATCTTCCACTCCACACCTGAACTGTGCAACAGATAACATCCACGGTTCCTCACCCACCGTAAATGTATAGTGAACAGCTCAGTTTTGTGAACAGCTGAGCTTCATTTAGTGAACAGCTGAGTTTAGTAAATGTTTAGTGAACAGCTGAGTTTAGTAAATGTTATGAGTTCAGTAAATGTTTAATGAACAGCTGAGTTTTGTGGAACAGCTGTGCACAAATGGTTAGCAAAAAGATGATTAATTGGAGTCAAATAGGCGTGTCCTCTATGAAGCTGTCTATAGAGACACAGCTCATCTTCTACTCCACAGCTGTGACTATGCAACACCTAACATTTACCGTTCCTCACCAACAGTTTGAGAAAATTGTGAAAATAGAAACTAGCAACTCAAACTTTGGATAAATTAAATTGATCAAATTGTTCATTGTTGGAGAAATTGGAGCTCATAGGGAATATGCAATAATGATGAAGCTCAACCACAAGAGGTGCAGAATGAAAACCTTAAACCGGACTTTCAGAGGAACGAGAACGAGAACTTGCCTGTTTTGAGTCCCATTCTATCAGATGTGCATTTGCACTACGTGAGAATAGTATCTCTGGGAGGTATTTTAGAGACTTCACTTGTTTATATGCTTAGATGATATGTATACTTTTTTTTCTTTACTATTTATTCTTATTGTTCGGACTTATATGATTAGATTCTTGTTCCTCTGGAATTTATTCAGCTGAGCATTATGACACACGGTAGTTTATTTAGCTTTTCCTTCATTTTCTAGTTCATAATCCACATGGATTATAATAACACTAGTTAAAAAATTGATCCCTTCCTTTTCCAACTAGCAGAGGGCCGAGTCCTTTACCGGTAGAGGCCTTGCAAACTCCACACACCATGGTGTCTGGCTACAGTATGTTTAACTTCAATGTAAAAACATAGACTATTGTTGTCTAGAAGTGCCTGTGAAGGCAGAAACTTGCATCAGAGAAAAATATTAGATTAAAGAACCAAAACAGAGATGGAAGGACAGTATAGAAAACATAGGTGGAGAACTTAGGTGGAAAAACTGAATAATGAGAATGTTGAGTTGTACTGATGTTGGAGGGAGAAAGAGGAAAGAGATGGAAGAGACCATAGAGCTACGAACCAGATGATCACAGTTACATGAAAATTTTACTGATATCCACTGCTGAAGGGAAACTTGATCTTGTGGAAATCATTTTCACTAACGATAATTTGCTTTAGAATGTCATTCATTATGGTGCCACTGATTCTTCTTTAGCGGGAGGACAAACAAGCAAATTATGTTCGAAACAGAGAGGGCATGGAAGAAACGTGGTTAGGCAGGGAGACATGGAATTGGAAAACATAAGAAACATATACATATGGAAATAAGACGAGACAACTCATTTTGCCGAATGAACAATGGGCCAGTGGTCGGGCTCATCCTGCTAGTTATACTGGAGCTGGACGACCTCGTAACTTCCATCACCTTCCATCACTTGACAGTCATTTAGCTACACGACCAACCACCTCATAACCATTTTCCCCATATTGAGTTTGAACTTTGAAGGACATTTGTTCTTTTTCCCCATTTTATTTCCTCTTATCCCCCACCACCCACCCAACCGCCCAAAAAAGAACCCCCCAATTCCTCAAATTTTCTTTAAAATTTTTTGATTAGAGTAAAATATATATGTATGTGTGCGTGTGTATAAAGGTACAATAGTTCCTTACACACACACACACACACACACACATAAGAAGGTAACTAGTTTGATTTAAGAAACCATCATTATGAAAATGTTCAGAAAATATTTATGAAATAATTTTTTACTACAACCAATTTTTCTTATTAAAATAAATATATAATAATTTTGAGATTTATGATGGTTTAAATAGCACAAATTTATTTAAAAAAATAAATGTACAACAGGACCTCTATTTTTATTCAACAGTCATTTCAATTAATTAAATAAAGTGTAGCTGGAAAAGAATTTGAAATTTAAAATTTAAAATAAATACTCAAATTATTTAAAGATGTGTCAGTTTTAAATTCCAGTAAAGAACATCAAGATTACAATGGATAAAGTTAAAGCATTAGAATGAAAAACTCTACACTGAATTCATGAAAATTTGTTTCTCAGTAAAATGTGTGTTTATTTTCTATATTTCTTACTCTGCAAATCATATGCATAAATATATTTTTTTAACACATGCATCTTGCACATGCATTTTATTTTGTTACAAAAGAAATAAAAACTTATATAAACAATATCAATAGAGGATAAAAAATATATCTTTCTCCATAGAAACTTATAGAATTTGTTAAAAAATAATTTATATCTTCGCACGTGCATATGCACACGCACATGCAGCAATGCTAGTAATATATAGTTATATATGTGCCTTAAAATCCCTACACAACGTTTTCCTTCATGCAAGGTATTCTACTAAAACTATCATGTCATGAGAAAAAAGAAAGACATAATTATTTCAATCATACAAATTAGCAAATGATTGTGTTCTCAACAATAAGCAAAGGCAACTCAGCAATAAGGAGATGTAATTTATGTGAATACAGGAAACCGAGGTAAGTGATTCTTAAAACACCAACTACATACCTCAGCAGGATTGCCAACAAAAATTCTTGAGATCAGATGCTGGCACTCCTCAGATATGTGAACATAATCAGGAACAGAATATTGCACCCCTAATATGCGCTGTAAAAATAGACAATTAATCAAAATGTGAACATAATCAGGAACAGAATATTGCACCCCTAATATGCGCTGTAAAAATAGACAATTAATCAAACTGGTCTAACAATGGCTCATATGACGAGAAGATAAAATCTAACCTGTATTGTCTTGCGAAAATTCCTAGGTTCTTCAGGGTCCTCAAATGGATATGCACCCACTAACATGACATATAGAGTAACTCCACAGGACGATACATCTGCAATCTGTGACGTTTATAAGCTAAAGTACATCAGTAGAAAAAAGAGAATTCTGGACGGCTAATATTATTAGGAAAGAGAAAATGCCTTCAACACTAGCACAGTGAACAGCTAGTAACAAGACATAGTGCGCAACAATGACACAAAGCTATGAAAGCTTCCATCACTGCTGTAATTATAAATAGAGCTTTGCACAATATCTCAAATACCAATTTACATACTTTCCCTCAAAAAGAATAACATCTAACTGGTGAGATTCATATGGCACCATAAACAAAAATAAAAATTAGCCAGAATGCGACTGTAGTTCTACACCAAGCTACCAAGTACCAACATAAGCAGCATACAAAGTCTAGAATGTAAAATTAATGAAACAGTATAAAAATGATATCATTTCAAGGTACTAGAAAAAATAATCTGGTTTTATGATTGCAATGAGTCAATACTTGGACCACATTTATCCATTTGGAATATCTAATATAAATGTTTGTACTTGCTTGAGTTCTGAGAAGATGGTGAATGATAGAAGCAAGCTCTCTGACTTAATTTTCCATATTATGTCTGGACAAAGATCAGTTCATTTCCAGCAACATCTGAAAGGACAGAATGCTCAGATTTTCTTCAAATAAAACTAATGTCAAGCTAAGGGCTCAACCAGTAGCAGTTATCTCACCAAATCTTGACCTTGCTTACAGTCTTATGTCCAGTACAACATCACCACTTCCTAGTCCTATTGTTTTCGTGCTCATTATGTCCAGTACAACATCACCACTTCCTAGTCCTATTGTTTTCGTGCTCAAACCACAGAAGGATCACGAGTAACAAAATGCAGGAGCTTTTTAACTCTAGTCCTATTGTTTTCGTGCTCAAACCACAGAAGGATCACGAGTAACAAAATGCAGGAGCTTTTTAACCTTTTCCTTAAGTCGCACATGACACCATTAATTCCTGGAATTAAGTTAAATAGGTTAGAATTCAATTATAATCCTAGAAAGTATGGCATTATAAACTCAAATCACTCATGGTGTTCCATTTCGTAAAGTTCACTATGTATTACACTTTTTCTAATACCCATTGAAGGAATGAAAAATGAAAGATAAACCATCAAAATTGTCATAATTTTGCAACAACGCTACAAAAGTCAATGGATTTGAATATGCAGGTAAGAAGAACCAGGGCAGAGCTAGATCACCTAAGTTTTGTGAAAAAAATCATAGTATTGCAACAAAGGCTACAAAATCTGATATATTTGAATATGCAGGTGGGAAGAACCAGAGTGGAACCAGATTACCTAAGTGAATCGAAACAGTATCATATCAACAAATCAAAAACATTTCAAAAATTGGGGCATATATAAAGATTGTAATGAACTTTCTTGAGTAGAAATTAATGGTGGCTGATAATAATACCAAGATATGAAAATTAGATCAGAAGTATATATGATAGAAGAAAACCTTGCTATATGTGGTATGTGCTTGATACTATCAGAAAGAGCAAAAAAACCATTTTGTTTATTGCAAGAAAGTAAAATAAATTCAAAGATAGAGAACATAATGCAATAAACGTTGCAGGAATACAAACAGAGAATTGGAGTAGCTGCTCTACAACAAGCAAAAAAGGGTCAAATGAAAGAACTAAGAAGAGAAAGGTATGGGAAGTGCATAAAGTTTGAGATACAACCTAGTAAAGGGTCAAATGAAAGAACTAAGAAGAGAAAGGTATGGGAAGTGCATAAAGTTTGAGATACAACCTAGTAAAAACCAACATTTGGTGTAACGTAAAGGAAGTGCATAAAGTTTGAGATACAACCTAGTAAAAACCAACATTTGGTGTAACGTAATAAATTCCAAGAGTTTACGAGAAGCAACACCATGCCAGTATAGTTTACTTAGATCAGAGAATTTATACAAAACTTTAGATAGTTTACTCAAGATTTACTCGTTTCAAAGATTCGTTGACACAGTAGCTATTTTTGACAAGCATAAATGAACTGCAGATTACTAAGATCTTATGGGACTTCCATAGTAATTGTTAGAGAAGGAAGACACCCAAAACTTCTAAGACTGCCCAGCTGGCATCAAATTCTATCACAATTAAAAGCTGCATCAAGAATAGAAATCCTATGTTTTGCATTATTCACTAATGTTGGGCTCACGCATCTACAAATTTATGTTTTATATATCAAATGAAGTGATGGTGCTACTTCTCATTTCCATATAGAAAGAAAAGAACTCCTTATTGTTACACTTCTAAATATTGCTCTATCATCTCATTTCCGTAGAGAAAGAAAACTCCTTATTGTTACACTTCTAAATATTGCTCTATCAAACTGCTAAATACAAGGGCTTCATTGCTCATCACGACTTCTAACTTTTAGTGTCATTGCAGGAACATTTTATGGCACTAGTTTTGAGAAGGCATTAGGTTCAAAGTTTGACGTTGGCAATTCAAAAAAAATTGCACATCAACATTTATTTTCCCATGTGTAGTGACTAGTGAGTTAACTTGCGGTGGGAGCTCTCTCCATCATGTGGTTTGCGTGAGAGGCAGTGTTAAGATTGAAACATACATTGTTAACCAAATAATATGCTTATGAATAGAATATACCATATGAACGCAGTGTTAAGATTGAAACATACATTGTTAACCAAATAATATGCTTATGAATAGAATATACCATATGAACGGACATACGAAAGGGAATATGGATGATATATCCTGAAACCATTGTAACATTACAGAGCTCCTATGAAAATGGGAAATGGACATAGAGATGAAACTGGGACTAACAAAGCCATAAAGACCACAATATACCATATGAAAAGGCAAATGTGGCAACAGGCATGCAACTGCGACATGGATGTGGAAGGGTTAAAGGCTCTAACAATAAGCTGGGGAATACATGTAATATCTGAAACTGGAGAAATAGAAGAAAAGGCTGGACAAGTAGCATCCAGACTTATTGGAAACATCCTCACGACATGGATTCAAAAACTACTTACAATTCAAACTTACAGTAATGACCCTGTAAGTTGTACTTAGGTGGAACCTACAAGTGAAATTTTATAAACTATGAAGATCAATTTATAAGAACAAAGTAACTAAATTGTTACAGAACAATGAGAATCAGCAAGGAAAACAATGACATAACAACACTGTTTACCAACTTGGTAACTAACTTCTGAATTAACTTAAAAAGTAAAATCAAGAGCATATGTGAATTAGACAAGATTTACCTTGCCATCATACTCCTTCTCGAGCAAAACTTCTGGAGCAATATAAGCAGGGGTTCCAACAGTTGATGTTGGTTGTGAATGCAGGACTGATGACTGAAATGTAAATTAAAACAGGCATAATTAGATAAAACTTGCTGCATGTATATACGCAGGTCTAGTGCTTATGAAGTATGACTGCTAATTGTACCATGACAACTATAATTCACTAACAGTGTTGAAATTACAGAAAAACAATGCATATCAATATTAACTTTCTTGAAAAGGAAAAATTAAAGGTTGGGGCTCATGGGAAACCCTAGTTTCTTTGTAAATTCACACAACAGTAGGATGACAAATTAGGGAACAAATAGTTGATAATAGCTGTATAACATGTACCTTGGAATACCCAAAATCACAAATCTTCAAACAAGGAGCAGTACTTCCATCCAACAATGTGTTCTCTAGCTTCAAGTCACGGTGACAGACTTGCTTCACCACGAAATAAACCATTGTCAAGAAATAACTTAATGCCTTAAAGACACCTTTAATAGGCCAAGTAGATTTTTTTTTAAGAAGCACCTAACTTACCATTGAATGACAAAAGCTGACACCCGATATAAGTTGTCGGAAAAAGTAACGGGCCTAAACGAGAAAAGCAAAGAATAAGACTAGAAATATGTCAGGATATAGTCGTGATAGTACCAAGAAAATAATCAATCTAGCTAACCTCATTCTCACTAAATCGACCATTATTGCAGATGCGCTCAAAAAGTTCACCCCCAGAAGCATACTCCATAACAATTGCTAGATGGGTCGGAGTTAAAATAACCTAAATACCATCCCACAACACAACCAGTAAAGACCTTCGATTATTTTTCTCAATTCACATCAATTCTTTGTCACCAAATCACATACCTCTCTAAATCTAATAATATTTGGGTGCCTCAATGACCTGTGATTAATAATTTCCCGTTGAACATTTTCATCTATCTGCAAAAACTAGAATTTTGTTACAAAAATAATAATAATAATAATAATAAGATGATGGAACGTATATTCAACTAAAATATATCACTAACTCTAGAACAAAAATTGATGACAAATATACATTCATTACTTCACAAAGAAAGGAACCAACTATACAACCAAAATTTTCATGCATTACTATGATTTCCCTTGATGTCTTTATCTCTTTACACCGCCTTTGTTATATAAGTGACTGAAACAGTAACTTCTATGAAACTTAATTACATAATTCAAAAAAAAAGCTAATTTTCTTTTAACACCCCAATGTTTCACCCTTTTCAGCTTTGATACCCTAAGGTTTTATCTACACTATTTGATACCCTGAAGTTCTCAATTGACATTAATTTGACAAATTGATAACATCAAAGTTTCCTCATTTTCCCCACACTCAGAAAACTGAAAATTTTATTTAAAAAATGAAATTTGGTAAGAATATTTGTTTCTCCTTCTCTTTTCCATGTCAATATTCTTAAAATTTACTCCTTCTGCACTGGGTATAAATTGTCAAACAAACTTTAGATATGAAAGTTATGAAGGGTAAAACTTTGGGGTGCTGAAAGTGCAAATAGCCCTTCAAAAAATCAACAGCTATTATAGGCATTCTTAAAGCGAAAACAAAGTAAACTCTACGGACAAATTTTCAAAACCGACCCTTTGGGGTTTTTAATTGCAAAAAACGACCGGTTTTGAAAATATTTACAAAAACCGACCTGTTTTCAGCCAGGGGCTGAAAATAGGTCGGTTTTTGTAATTTTTTTTTGGGAAACTTCACGGGAGTTGAACTCCCGTGAAGTTTTTCTCATAACAAAACTTCACGGGAGTTGAACTCCCGTGAAGTTTGAGAATTTTTTTTTTAAAAACCGACCCAGTTTCAACCAACTGGGTCGGTTTTTATAAATAAGATTGAAATGGGTCGTTTTTTGCAATTAAAATCCCAAAGTGGTCGGTTTTGAAAAATTGTCCTAAACTCTACATAACTAAGTTTCTAACCTTCAGAGAGAAGTAGCATAGATATCTTTCTCAAAATGCCTAACCATGCAATTATTAGAGGCAGATAAAGACAAATTTATACCCTAAAGATAATGAAACCCACACAAATTCTTCCCATGTTCCTAAAAAAAGATAGTACTAGAGCCCACAGAAAAGACAACACTGGAGCCAAGGAACAAACTGAACCCCCAAAAATAGTACAACCTCAACGGCGCCTTTGTCCTAAATTTTTGGGTCAGCTACATGAATCTCGTACTAACAATTAACATGTTCTTCTTATTTACTTCAAAACAAGCTAACAATTACAATTTACCCTGCCCTACCACCAGGTGCATTTATTAGTGACCTCAATGGCATATAACCAAACCATCTCAATCAACCCCCTCTCATTTTCATCCACTTTGCCCAAAAATAGTACTACAACCAAATTATGACTAGTCAAACTCGTTTTACATTAATTTAATCTTACTTACCAAAGATGTCTCGATTCAAAACCAAAATAAAAAAGAAAAAAAAAACTGACCTTTTCGCCTCTCTCGATATACTTAACAGCGACCAGCTCCTTGCTCTGCTTGTCCCTCATCAACCTCGCGATCCCAAAGTTCCCCGCCCCGATATCCTTCACCAGCTCGTATCGCTCGCTGTCGTGCATTATCGGCATATCCATCCCTCCATCGCCGACGATCTGGAAGTCAGAACCCTACCTCCCTCCCTTCACATCTCCAACCAAACCCCTGATCGATCGACCTGATCGAGCTTCGCTCAACGTGGCAACTCTGATCGCCTTAATAATATCCGATGCAGTCGAAGGAAAGAGACAGCGATCGCCCGCCCGTGATCGAGCCTCAATCTAGCTTTTCTAGGGTTTGGGTTTTTTTTGATGGAGAAAATGGGGAGAAAGCTCGCGGGTTTTTTTTTTTTTCTTGTTCCTCCCACCCTTTTTTCACTTTCTCCTTTATAAAGTGACAGGAGAGAGAGAGAGAGAGAGAGCGAAGATGAAGAGATATTATCCAAGTGGAGACGAATTAAATATCTCCAGAAATTACAGCGGATCACGAAAACGACTGTGCACGTGAAAGGGGGTGTTCGGGGAGATCTCGGCCGTTGTATTAAGTTGATGGCGAGAGAAATTGACGGTGGTGATTTTGATTGGGCGCCGACATGCTGTAAAAATACACGTGTCACGCCGCGATGTGGAGGGAAATTGGGGACGGTGAGGTTAGCATTACCGCCTTCACTAACGGTCAGGTTGTGCTGCCGTTACACGTACGAGGGCGTCATCGTTACACAAATTTAGCCGGCTGTGCAACTTGCCTCTCTCTTGTCTTGGGGTTGGGGTTCCCTTTAAAATAGGGTAATTTTACAGTAATCATTTTTTGTTATTAATTTATACTTAGATCACTTGAGTTTGTGTTTCAATCAATCCGTTTCCGGACAAATTTCGCTAAAAAAAACAAAATTAGCCTTCAAATTTCCGGTTCAACGTACATAACTTGAATTCTAACTAGATTTGAATATTAATAAAACCAGTGTGCACCCCGTGCAAAGTATGGCCGCCTATTTTTTTAAGCACTGTATTTTGAGCTTGTCATTTCAATACATTTGATTTAATTGTTTTATGCTTAAAATTAGAAATCATATCTACTATTCTATACTTAAAGAAGTATCCAAGTTTTAATACATTTGATTTATAAATCATATCTACTCCTCTATACTTAAAAGAATGATCCAAGTTTTAATACACTTGATCTGGTTTAATGTTTATAATACAGTAAAACTGCAGCATGAATTGTAATTTCAAGTATGGAGGAGCAAACTCGATTTAATGTTTATGCTACAGTAAATTACTATAGTATAAACAATCATTAGCGTGAAGAGGACATTTTACTGTTCATGCTACAGTATTGCATGAACAATGATTCTTTGGGTTCTCCTTTTAAGTACAGAGGAGTAGATGAGTCGTGTACTTTAAACGTGAGGTTTTTAAAAGTAATTTTAGTTTTTTAGTGAAATTTTTAACTGAGAGGTGATTACTTGCAGCATGAACCCACTTTAAAAGTGATTTGTATATAAATTGAAATTCAAAAGTGGTTCCGATAAAATTATCATGTTTTAAGGTGATTTTTAGGGGAAACCTCTTTATTTTAAGACATAGTACAATTTATATATGTTACAAATTTAAAAACAAACATAAGTAAAGAAAATTTATTTCTATCATCAAATTTATATACGTGAGAGTGATACCGTGTTTGCCCATCTTATATATTTTTAATTGTGCTCATGTTTGTACCTATACGTGTTTTTTCCTTTTTTTTTTTCTTTTTTCCTTCTCTCATTGAAGCGTGTATCTGTCTCAAAACATTATGGCAAGTATTAGTAAACGCACAAGCCTTGGTCATCATCTGCATGCCCACTTGCAAGTTATGGGCATATAGAATATAAAATGATTTAGTAATCATACTTTATAATTGACTAACTTATCTTTTAATTTGTGAGTAACTGCTATTAATGGGAAACAGTTGAAGCCTGCGGGTGATGCGTAACAGAGACGCAGCCGTTTTGACATGAACAATGCTTATAAAGGGAAATTATTTCCTCAAACACATTTTTTTCTCTCGTCTAGTTCACCCTTGAAATCATTTTAAAACCAATGGAAAAAGTGACATGTCACCCTCATATTTCTTAATGTGACATACAATTGAGGAAATCTAACTGGTGGGTTTTTGTATGGAAATAAGAGTGTACTCTCCTTAATATAATTTCCTCCCCCTACTTCCTTTTCTTTGGTTTTCAAGAAATCAACCAAACATTCTATCAAAAAAAAAATAATAATAACTAGACATGTTCTAAGGGGCTATTTGGTTAGAATTTTTTTCTCTTGAAAGACTGCCAAAGTGTCACTTTTTGGCAGGCTTTCAGCCCAAATCACCTCTAAAAAAATAGATTTTGACTGAAAGTCTGTAAAAAAGTGACATTTTTGACACTTTTGACAGGCTTTCAAGAGAAACTTTCCCTTAAAAACAGGGAACCAAACAGCCCCTAAGAGGGACCGCAAGGGTTCCGAGTTTTAACGTGTTTCGGGTTTGGACCAGTGCTCTTTTGTGGCCCGGTAATGAAATAAAGAGGGTGTAAGTTTGGGTTATTTCATTTGGATATGAAGATAACATTGAGCGTTTAGGTGGTCGGCGGTGACGTGTCAGCAATAGTCATGTGAAACCCCACGTGAAATTTACCTGCAGGGGCGCCTTTGTTTGGCATCATTAGGATACTATTGATTGTGCGTCCATCTAAACTTAAAATCATTTGCGAGTTTTAACGTGTTTCGGGTTTGGACCAGTGCTCTTTTGTGGCCCGGTAATGAAATAAAGAGGGTGTAAGTTTGGGTTATTTCATTTGGATATGAAGATAACATTGAGCGTTTAGGTGGTCGGCGGTGACGTGTCAGCAATAGTCATGTGAAACCCCACGTGAAATTTACCTGCAGGGGCGCCTTTGTTTGGCATCATTAGGATACTATTGATTGTGCGTCCATCTAAACTTAAAATCATTTG